TAGTGCTGGGCAACGATTACAAATTTTAATCATGATTAATCAAATCATGTTCTGTGATTAATTGCACTGTTATGCAACAAAATTCAATAATTAATTCAAAAGTAGTGTATTGCACACTTTTATTTTAAACAAATAAGGTTATTTTGAACAATAGTAGGCCTATTCCCTTTACAGAGTAGCATTTCAAATATTTCTTGTAAATCTCAAAAAACATTAATCTAATCAAATATAAAACCAAAGCTATTTGCCACTGCCAGGGCATTCACGTTGTATCTAGTTTGCTATAGAAAACAAGTTGGCCTCCGAGTTCCAGTGATAAGGAAATTTAACTTTATGGTGGTTACACCTAACTCTGGTTCTATCAACTCTGCCACCTGGACTAATTACAAATATCCATGTAAGAGTTTGTTACCTTTCTCCATGTTTCTGTCCCCACTAGTGTTGTCACGATACCAACATTTTTGTTTCGATACCAAGTCAATAATTACGATTTCTATACTTTTTTGATACTTTTCTTAAAAAAGGGGAAACCGTCTTAAATGTCATTATTGTGCTTTATTTCAAACCTGGAANATATCGTAATACATTAAATATATATATTATATATATATATATATATAATATAATATATATAATATATATATATATATATATAGATATAACTTGTGTAGGATGATAAACTTGTAATTAATGTCCCATTATATGTAATTATAACATTGTCGACTTTATAGTCGTGTTTCATCTAGTGACAGTGTGTGAATTGTCGTTTATATATACTATATATATTAGGGATATATTTAGTATATATGGTATATATTAACAGTATATACGTACATTTTGTGTCAATTGGTGCAGCGTTCCGAAAAGTTACTTGGGGGGGGGGGGCCTTTCGCTAGCACAAAGTTCTGCAGTTTAGAGATGTCCAAGAGAACACTTTCTCCTCGCTGGCCCGCCGCCGATTTCACGGCGCGGAGGGGGGGGGTGGTGGCGCCCATGAACTCCAGTGTCCTGTCAATAAAACGTATAAGGTGTTTAGATTACGTTATGCAATGCAGATGCTTGTCATGTCGGCAACCGACCTGAGTGTGCATGTGGGTGGACTTGTCTTTGTCGTGCTGCTCCCCACTAGACTTCATAATCGATACACGAAGTCTACCACACGATACTGTCACGTTACTGTCCTCCTGATGGTTATGTGTTATGAGAATATCAGTCATATGAGGTCTTTCTGTTGGGTTTTGACATTGACCTTTTTTCTGAGTGTGGGGGGAATGTGTCGTTTAGGAGAGGGCTCGATTCACAGTTAGTATAGGACGACGACTACCAAAAGAATAAAATTAAATTTTACGCTGTGATGGCTAGTGGTCCTCAATTACCTTTACACAAAGTCGGAGACAGACGATGGACCCAGAGAGAGTCTCCTCTGTCGTGTCATTCATTGTACGGATGGCTGTTTTCAAGATCCCACCCCCCCCCCACACAGTCCCGAGGAACTCCAAGACACTGCCTGTGTGCTAGACCTCCTCATCCCGCCCAGGAAAAGAGCCCGGTTTGTGGTTGTGGAAGTCCACCTCTCCTCAAGATTTAGAGGATTTCCGAGAGAGGAGAGGGAGTGAGTGTGTGAGGGGGATGAGACATTTCGGGTGTGTTCCGGACATGTGTTCTATGTGTGTTTCCAGTAAAGAAGTGTCTTTCGTTTTTCTTTCGAGGCATTATTGACTCATCATTTGCGTTGTTGTTCGGTAGACGTCGGACCGGAGACGCCCGGGCCACTACACGTCAGTCCAACCCCCGGTAAACAAGATTCCTCCTCCCCGAGGAGCCGAAACGGGACAACGTCCTGAACAAAAAAAAGAGGACACCACGTGACAACTCAATAAGTTTTCGGGTCTAGAGATACAGGGACTTGTATCTTTAGGAGGAAGAAGCTGTCGTACCCCAAGGGTGTTTACAAATAGTCCATCACCGAGGACGGCACCATGTCCGAGAGGCAAGGTCGGTGTCCGGCTTGAGGAGGCGACCCCTTTCTCTGTCCCGAATCGACTCTAGTCAGTAGGTCCTCCGATGTCAGAAATTCATATAAGTACAGTTTATTTGCGAAATACGTACTTTTAGTAATATATGTGTGCTTTACAAGGAGGTAGCGATGCAGACTCTGCTTTATAAATACACTATGCCTACACATATAGAAATACCATATAAACAATCAACTCACGCTCAAGTCGCGACATATATACATACAAACTATAGCCGTCAAAATATATAGGTCAGGGAGAAGTGGGACCTAAGTTCGTATATTCTTATATTATGTTGCTGTGGGCACCTAATAAACTTGAGAGTGTTCGCACGCCCAGCCAGAACTGCTCAGGCTTCCCCGACCGAAACTTGGATGTTCGAGATCAAATCGGTCACCCCAGACAAAGAGATAATATCCGCGATCTCGCGTCGGGTGAAAGGGTGCTATATTGTTGTAGAATTTATATATTGTCGGATTTTGATTTATTTTTCTGTGAATTCACATGAGATGTTTATATATTAAGAGATGCATATAATTAAAAATAATTTCACATTACTGTTGTTCATTTATTATATAATATCTTATTTGATCTACCTAGTCAATATTGCGATGAGTATTTGGGTGTAGCATGGGTTATTTCTGAGAGCGCTCACATTATTTACCAATATGCTCTCAGCAGTCGTAATGACTATTTCCGGGAGCAGTGTACAAAGGCGGGCCGTGTTCTAGGTCCCGTCAGTATCCGATATAGGGAGAGAGCAGACCCGCGATTCTCTCCTCGGAGTCGGTAGTCGTCGTGGATGATCGTTTCTGATGGGCAACGATAGACGACGTGTCGCATTGTCCGAGGCTTTGCGTATTAAAGTGGTTGTCGATCCTAAAATAAAGTGTGGATTGGTGGGTTGCTTCCAGCACTTTAATCAGGTGTAAAGCGTCAGGCCAGGTTCCTATATTCTCTTAGCAGTAGCTGTACAGTACTTTTTTTGTTTAGATCATTAAGATGTTAACTGTTAGTAGAAGCTTGCTGCTACCAATATCAATAAGGGTATGCCCTAACGCTCTGTGTGTCTAATAAGGAGGATTACTCTGAGGCAGGAAGGGGGGGTGGAAGGTTGGTTCTCTGCTGTTGGCTGTCGGGTCGGTGGGTGGAGGTAGGTATGCAGGCAGGGTGAGGGGGGATGTGTACAGGATGTATCCCTCCGCCGAGGAGCCTTCTCCCCCCTTCCTGGTCTTCCACACCAGTATTTGTGTCCTTGTGGAGTCACAAAGAATAATATGGATAATTCTTCCGATCATTTCACCAGATTACAATGTATCAGTGATGTATAAATAACAATAAAGCTGAATTAATTGTTGTAACCTGGGATATGACTGAATCTGTGATGTTTCTTTTTTTAGTTTAATATATATGCTCTTTTTACACTTCTTAACTCCTCAAAGGATAGTTGTGTGCTCTTTTGTATTCACATTGTAAGTGTTCATTGGAAACACATTTGTACACAATCCCCAAAACAAATTAAAAAAAACATCAATATATTTGCTATTTAAAAGTAAAGCTGCTCAGAATTGGTAGGAGTTTCCCGCTGCTGCTCTGTAGGTTGGATCTGATTTCACTCTCACCTGATACACTGCTTACACATCTTTTGAATTACTAAACTGCTCAGGTGCTTTGAATGTATGATGACACTCAGTGAAACGGTTCATGTTTAAGAAGAAAACTAATGCGTAGTGAGATGTAATGTGAGACAGTACATTGACTAGCCAACATTTATTAAAATATTTTATGGTTATGTTTTACTTTCATGCTGCAGCTTTTAAATCCAAATCTATTAAACGTTTGTGTTTTACACACATCCTACAACAAGTTGTGTGTGTAAAATTATGATCTGTTTCAGCTGTCAGCTTTATCAATCACTGATCCTGGTTTAAAGTGTACATTCAGCAGTCAGAGTTAAAAACCTGTACCTTTGGCCAGTTCTCTCTTGAACCCAGAAGACCACCCCACTATATGTACTCCAGTTAAATAACAGGAAACTTACAAAGCCTTGCTGCGGTCGTTAAAGGTGGGTAATGTAATTTATTTCAGAAACACTTTTTGTTATATTCCATGGAATGCTCTTAACATCCCGATAGCAATGCATAAGAGGAAATGCTTTGACAATAAATACATAAAAAAAATTCATCTGTGGAAGCCGTAGCGCTGGAAAAAGCACGACCAATCATGTTAACCAGCCCGGCTAAAATAACTGGATGGCCTACCTGCCTGTCAGTCTTCCATCTGTGCACAAACTTATCTCCTGCCCTCATTGGTCATGTGCGCGTTCGTGTGTGTTGGAGGAGGGGCTCTAGGAAGTGGCAGATTTTTTCCGGTTGTGTATTTTCAAATTCTAGCTCACTCTTTACCTACCCAACCTTTAAGTGTATCTAACGATAATCAGATTCTACTGAAGAATAAAACCATGCAAACTCATCAACATGGTTCACCACTTAGTCTTCGTAAGTATAAACACCTCTTCTATAGAGGGGCTAAGTATATTAATCTCTGGCAAAATTACAGGTTGCAAAAGAGGTCTTTATGAAGTCTAATGCAGCTGAAGTCACAGGCGTTCTACTTTTGTAAGATGTATCCTTTACTCGATCACTGGTTAAATGCTACAGTGAAGATGTTTCAGCAGCAGTGTTTCTATTGTGCTTTAATGAAACAAACACAGAAATAAAGAGCTGCACCATGAGTTTAGTAGTAAACTATTTCTGAAACTTGCAATCTCAACAGTTCAGCAGTCCAACTGATATCAGCAGGACCGTCATGCTCACAGAAATCCTTCAACTGTGACTGAGCGCCATCTGGAGGACGTTTAGTGAAGTGAACTGCATTTTTAAATTACAAACTAGTATCAAATCATAGATTTCATTGATTGCATCAACCCAAATAACTGAAATCACGCAAATTATCCAAAGAACTGTTCTGTTATACAAAAGTGAGTGTTGTCTATCATGTTTTATTTAACGGCCCATCAAGCCCAACACAGGCACAGGTAAACACAGAGTGCAGGTGTTGAAGGAGTCTGTCCGCCGAGGAGGAACGTCTCCTGGGCATCATCCGCTGACTCGGTCCTGATGTGAGCGACTTCCATTCCAGGTCCTCGTCAAATTAAAACTTCCCCGCAGGCATGCTGCGTCAGCTCTTCACTGACATCCAGCGAGACTAAAATAATGCTGGGATCATTCTTGAGTTCTGGGATTATGGTTTTGTCAGCTGCACTGTCAGCACATTTCATAGTTTGGGAATCAAAATGAGTCCCTTTATATAAAGAGCAACAGCATCAGGAAGGCAGGAAGTGATTATCACAGTAAGAATGTGTGATTTGAACAAATATATAACAGATATTTTCATCAACAAAACAGGGCTTAAAATGTACTGGATTTTTGAATTAACTACAAAAAGATAATTCAGAAAGTGTGTTTTATAATAAGTGCTTCTGATTATTAATGATGTATTTGTGTTATAAATGATCATTACACAAGGATTCACATATATAGTGCAGCCCTAATTAGCTCAGCAGGAAAAGTGGCTCTATCGCAAAATCAATATGCAATTCAGATGCCATGTTTAACATAGTGGTTCTGTTGTAGAATACTCCCAGTGTTAAATATTCAGTGTAATTCAGGCTGTGAGATAACACACTGTACTGTCATTTTCAGCATAGGACAAACTGTGGGTGGGCACAAACAGGACTACACTGATGCAATGTTAAACAATATGTCCAAATTGAAGTAGGACATTGAGGAGATGAAATCTGCAGTAAGGCAAGGCATATTGTAGAAGCACAGTTAGAAAGTCCCTTTAGTCAGCCATCTCTGTGAAGACTGAGTGTGGTGTCTGTGTGAGGACGCACAGCTGCGCTCAGTACACCAGGTACTTGAGTTCAGAGTAGATGAGAGGAAACATGACGGTGCAGGCTCGGTACAGGATGGCTCCGCTCTTGAATATAGCTAGAGGTTTGGTGCTCCACGGCTCTGTCTTGAAGTTGAAGTAGATTGCGTACATCGCCACGGCGAAGAAGTGTCCAATAAGGTTCATGGGTTTAGGTGTCAACCTGTTAAAAAAAATCACAGTCATTAAGTATCTTGTACTTTTCATGAATTTAAAAGGACAGTTTGGGAAATACACTTGCCCGAGAGTGAAGGATAAATGTATCTGCTGCAAACTACTTAGCTTAGCACAAATAGTTAGCTTTTACTGCTAATGTGCTGATAGGTGGAATTTGGCCATTGTCAAGCAACTGTTGTTTGCATTGGTAATGCTAAACTAAGCTAGTTTTCCCTGGTTTTATATTTTGACTACAGACATTTGGGAGACACCATATTAAGAGACATTCTGTCCATCCAGTTATTGTGGAGACCATTTCTCAATGCTTACACAGAAAGGAGTCCGATGGGCCCGTTAATGCACTCTCCACCAAGCTTGAAGTAGTGGAAGCAGGCTCTTCTCAGCTCATGAAGAGATTCTGTGTTACACAAAAGAGGAACACAAACACAATGAGAATCAAAATGGAAATAAATATGATTTCAATGTATTGCATATTATGCCTTTGTACCTATTCACTTCAAGAATAATCATTTCTGATCCCCTGTCATTTTGTTTCAGTGTGCAGTTAGATGCGGAGGCAGGCAGAGACTCACCGTTTGTGGCTGCAAACAGCTCATACAGGGCCTGGGCCAACACATTCACCACGAAAGAATGTGATGACTTGCGTTCCCAGTGGAATGTTTTTTTTGCCTATTGAGGAAAGAAAAGAAAGCAGTGTAATAATGCACAGTGGTCTGCAGTCGCTCACCTACACCACAGGGAATAACAGCACAGGGCAAAGTGATGCAGTGAGCCTCTAAATATAGCTGGCTGTCACACAGCTACAGAAGCCCTTGGTTTTTATGATGGCTCGATGGTACATTAGGGAACAGTGAGTGTTTGGCATGATAATGATCAGGACTGGTCTGTGTGTTCACCTGCAGCATTGCCTTGTCGTCATACAGATCTGGGATGTTACCGAGCAGACTCCTCCAGATGCGAACGTCGTTAAGAGCAACGCTCATCCCCCCCCCCGTCAGAGGGTGCCTCATGTTGTAAGCGTCGCCCAGGAGAAGAACGCCTGCAAACCAAAGACTGCTGTTTGTCATTGTTGTCTTTTACTCCTTTCAGCATATTGTAATTCAAATCTTCCAATTAGTGCCAAACACAGTGAACAGGAGCATGTCTCTGTGTGGCTATATTTAAGATGTTCTGACTGTTCAAACCTTTTGAGAGTGTTTCAATGTGTCATCTCTCATTACAACAATAAAGACCACTAATTTTAAAACTCCAATCCATCCCCCTTTTGCACATATTAATAGTCTAATTGAAAGGACCAGTCCAACATGTCTCATGTGCGCTACAAGCTAATGTAGGCTGTAAAGTGTATATCAAAAAGGTTATAGGTGCAGTATTAATCACTTTATAATTATTTCTACTTTTTTATTATTATTATAAAATGTTAATGTTATAAATTGTTATCTTGCACTTTTTGTAGGATTAAATAAAAATTCCTTAAAGATAGAGGCAGGTTGGTTCTTCCCATTCTTAAAGCTAAGATAACTAGCTGCTGCTTATAGCTTCATATTTGCAGTACAGATATGAGAATGTAATTGATCCTCTCATCTAACTTGAAGAAAGAAGTAATATTCCAGTTAATACAAGTATTTCTAAAGTATCAGGTAAAATACAAAAGATATCAAAACAAAGTACTGATAAGAGTAATTGCAGATGCGTGGACAACCAGGAATCGTTATCTGTTTCATCAGACAGTTAGGACCAAAGCCATGCACTACTTCCCCTGAGTTTCCTCATAATATTCCCAAGCTGAAACAGTTCAATAGATTCCTCTTTCAGCCATATCTAACAACATGGCAGTGAATAGCTGTTCAGTACCTGGCTTGTTGACAGGAGAGGGAGGCAGGAAGCTGGCAGGCATGGACCTAAGGCGGTCGTTCTGTAGTGCCACCATGAAAGGCTCCTTTAAGTGCTCTGAGGGAGAGAGAGAGCAGGCGTCCATCACTCAGCTGGCTCCAGACGTGCACGCTGGGCACATGCACAAAAAGCCTTTTTCCTTCGTTTTTTATGTTTCAGTGAGCCTGACTCCACCATTTCAGCTGGACCTCTGTCAAGGTTAACAGATGCTTTGATATGGAGGCTCTGATATTTCAGCTGAATAGCAGGGCACACTATGAATGTCAAAGTGTATCTTCCGACAGCAAAGGCAGAGGCTGGATATATTCCTACCCACCACCATGTCTGGCATTATTCCAAATCCTTCATCACGTTACAGGGGTTCTTACTCAGGCCAAAGGTCGTTTTTCATTCGAAATGATTACACAGGAATAAAACCTCCGAGGCCTTTTTGTAAATAAAGTTCCTCTCGTGTGGGTTTTACCTGGCAGCTGAGGGTATATGTTCTCAGCCATGTACTCTGAGAGGTTGCGGGGCATCTCCCCCCTGATGTCCACCAGCACCCTGGTGTCTGAGGAGGAGATCTGGTAGACCAGCACCGGGCTCGGGTTGGCCAGCACCAGCTCAGCATGGTGGGCTCTAAACTGGGGACAGTCCTGAGGAGAGAAAAACATTTAAACATAAAGTTTTAATCAAGAGCTAAGAGACATTTCATTTGAGATGGGGTTCTTTAAATTAGTAAAAATGAATTTGTAAGATCTGCACAGATTTGATTACATTACATTTTAAGGAGGCCATATAAGGCTTTGGGGCTTTTCCCTTTCCTGTAGTCTTTTCTTTAGGATTGTGTGCATGAAAACGGTCTGCAAAGGCTAAAATCCCTGTGTTCCCTCCAGAGGGAGTTTCTCTCCCACACACTCTCTGCCTGAAACGCCTTCATTGGACTCCATTGTTTAATTGCATAACATAATGACGTCACAAAGTAGCACTTGGGCTTCTAATGTCTACTCTAGAGCTCCAACACATTGTAGTGAAAGGCTAGTGGGTGGGACATGTCTAATTGGTTGACCAATCACAACAGAGCCGGCCAGCTAACCAATCAGAGCAGTCTGGCGTCTGGTTTCAGACAGAGGGTGAAAAGAGGTGCTGCAGCACAGGCAGTAGGAGAAAAAGAAAGAACTTTTTGAAACGTTAAAGTGTGTAACAATGTGACAGTAGAGGCACTACATACCAATAAGAACCTGAAAATGAGCGGAATAGGGCCCCTTTAAATGGAATGTATCTTTCAAATGCTATTAAGTATTTATAGTCAATTCAAAACAATATGGTTTGCACATTTTATTATCATTATCAATTAATCTGTACTTTACTTTCTCAATAAATTGATGAATACATTTGTAATAAAATAACTGAATATATTGAAAAACAACAACAGCATGAAGGACATTTCAGGTAGCAGCATCTCTGGCTGGTCTCACCTTCATAAGACATCCCACAAAGTGAGAGGAGGTTTGAGCTTTCTCAGCGACCAGACTCTTTCTGAATTTGGAGAAGCACCCATCGGCCACCACAGTCAGCCCTGCGTGGATCTCCTACAGGACACATAATCACACTGTCATCACACACACTCTGTAAACCATACAGTATTTATTTCCACTGGGGGGGGGATTGTAAAGTCTACTCTTCTCACCTTGATGTCTCCGGTTTCTTTATCTCTGAACTGGACTCCAGTTACACAGCCGTCCTCTTCCAGCAGAGTGGTCACGGTGCCTTCTAACATTGTCACACTGGGGGGCGCAATAGGGCAGTTAGAGACGTTAAGGCGTGGGTAACATGGGAAGGAATGCTACTGGAACTAAATAAATGCATATTTATGGACAAACTAGTACATTGTGATTGTACAGCAAGAGCTAAAGCAAGCACTGATATTTGCATGAATAGACCTTTATATAAAAATACATCTGAAATAATTATATGAAAATACCTGAGATTAAAATTCCTAAAATGACATCTCATTAGGACTGAGTGTTATTAGGTCATTTTGTCCATTCATAGAATAACTCATTCATCTGTAAAATGTATAAAAAGGAAATATGTGCTTAAAGATCAAAGGTAAGTGCAAATGAGGGATAGAAATACCCCACGGATGAACTTGTCATTTAGACACTTGACTTTTTTTCTTAAAAATTGAAATGTTGACCTAAAGTCAAAACTATTTGACAGAAATAAAAAAATTTAAACTCACAGTCTACATGTTGAATTCCTCCAGAGTTAAGAGGATGATCAAAAGTGAGGTTGAAAGCTCTAGAGAAAGCGGATCAGTTGATCCTGAGTTTGTTGAACTTATTATGTAGCTTCACTTTATAAAACTGAAAAAATAGCTGTATGTGAACAATAAATTATACGTCTGTTTCTTCCAACTCACTGCTGTCAGAAACGATATCCTACTAACAGCCTGTGTTGCCATGTTTTCTAAGACCCTACTCACTTTGGCTGGGCCATGGCGCTCCTCCTCAGGCCCATGATGAAGCGGCCATGATGGAAGGCTCGTCCGCAGTGGATGCTGTCCTGCCCCTGGGGGTAGGGGATCTCCACCTCTGTGCTGCTCTCCATGTCGTGGATTACATAGCCGTTCACCTGGTGGGCGTCCAGACCTTCCACCGAGCCTGGGGGAAACACACACAACAGGTCAGTGTTACATGCAGTGTGTGATTCAGTGAATACATGATGGTTTACTGAATGGGCCAAACTGAACAGGCACAGATCTAGGGGCCAAAAATGTCACAGGGCCCCTGACCTTTACCTGTGAAATGTCACTAACAGAGACACGCACCAAGAAGAGACTCAAAATGGAACATTTGAGAGGTGGTGGGGGGCTTTTGCAAGTCTGTAATCGAGGGAACATGTCTCAATCAGCATGGCTGCACCATTATTCCATCACTATAGGTTATATTTAAATTCAGCTCACAAGTTTTGAAATAAATCCATCTGACACATTTGGTGCATTTAGACAGTTTGAAATGTCTAATATCATTTAATCTAAAAGTCTGTACCAACAGGTAAATGGTATAATTGAAAATAATATGTTATGCCATGATTGAGGGTGGGTCTTTTTAGAGGTATATTGCATGACTATAACAGAAACAATAACTAATAAAAACAGTAAAAAGGGGATATTATCATAGTGTTAAAGTCTTTTTTCAATAACATTAGAGTATGATTTAGTCCTTAGGGAATTTTACATCAGATAACCTATACTTTTATTTGTTTACAGTTAACATTAAATATTTAAACAATTTTATTACAAATATCAGCCTAGTTCCAGAAATGTGTTTTGAATGTGAGGTTTTGAGGAACTCTTTATTTTTCTGAAATATCAGAAAGGCACTTTTGATTAAGTAAAATCGTAACTGTCTATTACATACCTATATGCTCATAAAACTGTACTGATCACAAAGTATGAAATGTACGCTGCATGTAGATACTCTAAATAGAAGCAGGTGAGAATTAGTAACCAGTAACCACTAATACTTCGTTTTAAATTGTTACTATTTCACGACAACATTTCATATTTAGGACTGAACACAGCAATCAGAGTAAAAGTGTTCAGACTGTGGGGGAAATATGTCTGACAGCAGTGGCACCATAACCAAACACACTCACCGTCACCACATTCTGATTCAGACATGCCTCACTCTGATTGGTTCACAGAAATATGTGACCTCACCTTTTCCAGCTGAGCCAGGCCCACTTCACACCAGTTAGAAGAGCACATATAAAACTCAAAACACAGAAACCTCTCATATGAAAAAAACTTTAAATAGTGTTACTGATAGTGCATGTAGTTCTAGTAAGTGAAACCTAGTGAAAGTGTTTTTGAGGCCTTTTACCTAGGAACTAAAGTCATTATTCAAAGGGGTTCCAGCTCATGTGTACATCAGAGTGTATTTGCAGGTGATTGACAGTCCACTGACCCTCGAGGCCCAGCTCTCTGAGGGCCCTGAATCCTCCGGGCTGCAGCAGCTCCCCCACTATCCTGTCCGGCTCCTTCAGGTCCCTCTCCACCACCGTCACCCTCCTTCCATCCTTGGCTAAGACGGCGGCCATAGCTGAGCCCAGGACCCCGGCACCCACTATCACCACGTCTGGCTCTGGGGCCCCTGAGGAGCCACTCTCTGAGGCACTCTGTGACGCAGAGGACTCTTCTGCTTGTACTCTTCTCCTTGTTCTGCGGCTCTGGAAACAATGGAGGGGACACACTGAGTAAAGTCCAAACTGAACTGGACTGTAAGGCAAACAGTGGGACATGCTACATTTTGTATACTTCTTCAAATAGCCATACTTTAATCAGTACTCAGATCGTTTATTAAAGTAAAAGTAGAAATAATATGGTCTTAAAATCCTAAATGTACAAATAATGTAATAAAAATACTACAGAATATTATTTTATTCGTTTTTTTCTACCAACAAATACATGTAAAAGCATTTAATCTTGTGTTTTGTCATAAGGGAGCTAAACAGAAATACATTGTGAAATACTGGGTGTATTATTACAAAAGCAGTGTGTCATGATATAAGCATATTGTGTTATATGTATAAAGTATCTCGTAAATATGAGTGTTAACTAAATGAATTAGAGTAAAAAGTATAACATTTGCCTCTGAGGTTCAGTGGAGTAGAAGTATAAAGTAGCATAAGATGGAAAACGTGAGTAATATTGTGTTTAAAATGTATAGTTACATTCCCAAATTGCATGTAACTAGCTATGGCTCTATAATTTCAGTTACAGTATTTGGATATACAAAAATACATTTACCCTTTAGACTTTAGTTCAGTAATGCTTCATACAACAACAACAAATAGGATACAATATATTGTTCAGTAATAAATAAAAATAAGTATAACAAATGACTTCAGTGAAATGGAAAGCTGTCTTTGTCTTCCTTTGTTGACATGATAAGGCTAATATCCACATAAGTTTTCTTACCTTTTTTAAATTGTTTTCTGCTTTCTCGCTGCTCTGTGTTGAAGTTTGAGGGACTACATGGTTGATAAGAGGCACACAGGACAGCAGTCTCAGAGGGAAATGCAACACCTGAGAGACTCTGAGTGTGTGGCTGTGGATATACCTGACATACACCAGCAGCAGCCCGACGGCCAGGAACAGAGCTGCCACCATCACGAGATCTTTGTGAGCGTAAGATAACACTGTGTTGGATTTCTTGTAAAGGTACGTGAGGCTGGCTATTCCCAAGAAGGTCCACATCTTTAAGGATTTTTTAAAAAAAGTATTGAAAAGAAAATAAGCCTTGGGAGAACTCCTGAGAAACAGGTTGAGAATCAGGTTTGTCCAGAATTGTCCCATGCATTAATAATAATCCTTCATGTTGTTTCTCAGGGTGCCCACAAAAAACGTCAGCAAACCCCAAATAAAAAGATACCTTTGTAACTTGCTGACAGACAGACGGAGGGATGCTGCTGAATACTTTATGATAATGAGAAACACGCACGACATCGGATTCGGTGGTTTCACATCCCGCCTGTTCCATAACTCAGCCCGCAAATCAGGAGCGACGAGATGGTGAGCAGAGCTCGCGCTATCTGCCTATTGGATAGCTGCGCCGGCCCTGGTCCTCCCACTGACCTGTGATTGGACAGCTGGCTGGCAGGATGGTAGTATGATGTGATGTCAGTTGTAAGGTGCCACTGTTTCTTTTAGCTTACATCAGAGCTTACATACAGAGGACCTACTTCAAAGATCATTTATATTTGACAAATCACTCTGCTGATAAACTGCTATTCTCCTTCTCCATCCAGATATCTTATGACAACACCAGTTAGTACACTGATACAAAAAGGCAATATGTATCCCAGTTACAACACAACATCTTTAAAATATACATGTTACATTGTTTGTGAGCGTAAGGTTGTGTGCAACTAAAGAGTATTCAGTTTTGGTACAAGAAGAAAGTGTTTATATGTAAATTAACGAATACATGCATCCAAAATGTATACTGATATAAACAACACAATTAACAAATCTCTTGCCAACTTCGAAATGACCAATTATTAAGAAAAACATGTAATAAAGTGTAATGCAAATGGAATAAAGAGTTAGATTATTAAACCCCTAAATAATTCAGATTGGTTATAGAGGGGTACATCATTAGCCATGTTCAAACCTACTTTAGGAATTAATAAGAAAAAAACACACAAAATTAGTTATTATTTAATTAAGAATGTAGGCCATACCTTTGAAACTTATTTTTAAATTGGTTGACATTATAATTTTTCAAATGAATAAATGATTCATATTTCAGTGACAATTTGAACTTCATTGTTGTTTCTTTTGTGCATTTCGTTAGATTTTGTATTCAATTAAAGCTGTCTTTAATTGCATTTAGAATATAAAAAACTGCTCATGTTTGTAGTTTTATAACAATAGTTTTTTTAATTGGTCGTCGTTTGAAATAAACTGTACATTAATAACCAATAACTTAAAGAGATGTGTGTCATTTTGCTCATGTGAAATAAAAATTAAACGTTGTACTTTATGTATATCTTATGTTTTGACTTTTTAATCTTTATTATGCTTTGTGGCTATTTTTAAAAGGCATGTACACAACAGACCAGGGGAGGGAGGGAGGGAGCTGGCACCACTCTCCACCTATACATGGTTCAACATACTGTATGTGAGCATCGAAGACAGTCTCTCTATATTTGCCCTCCACATCCATATGTATTGCAGAGGTATTCTTCATATCCATTTTATTGCACTTTATAAAAGATACATTTAGCAACAACATTTTCATTTTGAAAAGGTGGATGAGTTTTGTAAATGCCAAAACTGGCCTCAACGAGATGATGTTGCACATGTTGAAAAGAGGGCGAACTGGCCTTTATGGATGTGTGACTCTAATGTTAGAGCCCATGGCTTTCCAAAATGTGTGCAGTTCATACCCAGAACATATCTGGATGTATGCATATATGGGATTAAATAAATAGATACCAATGAAGCTATTTTCAATGCGGATTGCCGTTACAAACCAAAAGTAAGGCTCCAGATTCCTAAATCACAAGTCTGTAACTGATTCACAGAAGGTCCGAACATGCATGTGTTGAAAGAACTGCATGTTTGTCTGTGTTACAATGAATTGACATGCCTCTGATTTGACCAAACAGTTAGATGCCGGCCAAAGCTAAACTAAAAGGCTCATTGATGGATGTAAATGTTCAAGGTAGCACTGAACATGCTGTGTATTTTTATTCCCAGAGGAAACTACTATTCAGTGGGCCTCATAATCAGGAAGTTAACTTGGAAAACGTATATTGCTGTACTCTATAAGCAGAGAAACTACTCGTGTTGGATTGGAGAGGGGAACATTCTGGGAACATTCCGTGTTCCATTCTATGGTTCTATGTTTTCCATGGACTACGGAACCCTTGCTTTGTGAGGTCATAGAATGTGGAATCTTTAGCAGACAGACTGTAGCTCAGAGGAGAAACACCTCAGTTAGTAAGCTGATCAGGTAGGTAACACAACAACTTAACCAGGGTAACATATCTGACAATTGTGAAAATATTAGAGACTCTTCAGAGGAGGACACCGACCAGATCCAGGGAGTGCACTTTATCAATCTGGAAGAGATCATGGACATATTTGAAGAGCAACAACAAAGAGAGGAGCAAGAGTTCAGGTATGTGTCTCAAGGCAAAATATAGATTGTCTGTTATGTCTTGTTTGGCAATATGCCATAAAGACACCTGACTAACAATTGTGACAATTTCAGAGACTCTTCAGATGAGGACATCCACCAGATGCGGGTAGTGCACATTATCAATCTGGAAAGGATAAGGGAAATATCTGAAGAGCAACAACAAAGAGAGGAGCAAGAGTTTGAGTATGTGTCTTAAGGCAACATTTGTATTGTCTGTTAAGTCTTGTTTGGCAATATGCCATAAAGACACCTGTTCATATAAAAACTGTCTTTCTATAGTGAACGAGAAGATGTCAAGAGAAGAATAATGGAGTTGGAAAAGGCCTACAAACAGAAGAGAGAGGTCTTTGAGCAGCAGCTTCAACTTGGACAGGAGCTGGAGGCAGAGATGAACAAGATAGCAGCTGAAAACAAAGACTTCACCAACACAGAGAAAGAGTATGACCCCTAACTAACTACACTTGACTATTTCCTGTATGGCCAACATGGCTAAGGAGTCTGCTTGGCTCTAAAATCCTAAAATAAAAAAAGTGAGTCTCATACCCATAACTACATGTGGTTGGTTGTGTGTTCAGGTACCGAAAACAGAAAGCGGAAAGCAGAAGAAAACAGAGAGAGAGGGAGGATGTTGAAACTCAGGAGAGACACCAGGAGCTCATGTCGGAGGAGGAAAGCAGGACGCGGAGAAGCTATATGAAGGAGGTGGTAAGTACATGCTAACAGTTATTTTCCTGCTCATACATTATGATTGCCTTCCTGTCTTTAATGCAGTAATGGAAATGATAGTGGAGTGTCAAAAGAACAGGTTAAGGACCAAGTCAGTGCCAAAATTCAGAAAACAAGACAGTACAGGTTTTTCAACTATGGGACTATTTCCTAATAATGCTACATTTAAAACTACCAATCTTCAGATGTGGGAAGTAACTAAGTACATTTACTTTAGGTATATTTTGATACTAATACTTTTGTACTTGGGTAATATTTTGAATGAAGGACTTTTACTTGTAACACAGTATTCCTGCACGCTTATACTTCTACTTTTACTTAAGTACAAGATCTGAGTACTTCTCCCACTTCTGCAAATCTGTGTTGAAATCTGCAGGAGGACAGTGAGGTTAGCTGTTAACAAATGTAAACAGGCCTGCTTTGATAAATAACAGAGATGAATTATGATGAGTTTACATTTTGTACGGAATTTTGGTATTAAGTGAAGTTAAATAATCATGATGTCTGGTATTGTGAAATCCATGGCTGGAGGTAAACAAATGGCAGTGAGTGGTTACAATTTCATTTTGGCCAGCGGGGCCATATTAACGAGTAATAGCAACGAGTTTCTGATATATGTATTTTTAACACACAACTCGAGGTTAAAAGCAAACAAGACTTTAATATGATGGCAGTGTGGCTGTCTCAAAACCAAATCTTACCAGTTTGAAACGTCCCCCTAATCTGGTGTTATTTACTGGATTGCTTCAATTATTCCTTTTTGTTTGTGCAGGAGGATGAGACTCGGTTGCTGAGGAAGCAAAAGGAGGAGAAGACTGCTGAGGTATGACACTGACTCTGACATATACTATCTACTAATCTATGTGTGTCTTTTTTCACCATTTTACAGCTAAACATTGATCTTTGAAAGCAATTAGAAGCATTTAATGTTAGAATAGATGTCGCATTATTTTCTGCCATCCTCTTTGAATACCACTCTCACTCTGAGCTGCTTGTATTTCAGCTGGAACAACTTTCACAGGGAACCAATGATAAGGAGCAAATACAAAAGCTGAGAGAAGCTGAGCAGGAATCAAAGGTAAACCTTTGTTTTACTTAATGAAATGCAACAATACAATATTCTACCACAGCTTCCTCTTTTAATAATATATATCCATTCTGTTTTGTTATAATATCATATGGAATCTGGTTTGATGTGTTTAGCCCAAACTTGAGCAGGTTCAGGAAGAACTACAAAGAAAAGATGCAGAGGTGGACACGGTATGAAAACCTTTTTTAAATCTTCAAAATATCCTCTTGTGAAGTGTCTCTTACGTACTTTAACATCCGAGTTGTCTTTGTGTCTGACAGATATCCTGGACCTTGATTCAAAATAATGACCAGATCGGGGAGAGATTAAGCACCATAGAGGTATGGTACCAAATACTGTATGATGTGTGTGTGTTAAATGGGCAATATGAATGATTATGACTGAAACCTATCAACATTGCATCTTGTTCTGCAGGATCTCAAGCGGGAACAGCAAGAACTTCAAGAAAAACTGAAAAAGAGACAGGAGAAGCAGATTTTGTAATTACTAATAACTTAGTCTGAGTGTAGTTCATTTTATGGGTTGATATTAATGTTGACCATCTTGAAGCCAAGCTAACAATGAGCAGATGTTTGTGTAAAGTGTTCTGTTTTCTCACACCTTCCTCTCTTTGGTTTGATAGAGCTGCAGAGAAGGCACCATCAACAAAAAGACATTGGTCTTCAGCTTTGGTAAATATAATATCCAATCACTGATATGAAACAAATTTATTTATTTTACCAATGCCACAAGTTACTTTTTAAAGTAGTATTTGCTGCTAAAGACCCACCCCTTCTCATTGGATTTCAATTTGAGAAGCTCATTTTTTATTGTTCTATTTTATTCTTATTTACTTCTTAATTTGTAAAAACAAATGAAGAAGTAAATAAGAGTAACATTTGGTATTTTGACCCTAATAAGCCCTTTGGTAAACTGTTTTAAATGGCTACA